CCCCAAAACCCCAAAACCCCAAAACCCCAAAACCCCTTTCCAAAATAAATTTTTTGAAATTATGAAAAATAAACTTATTAAATAAAATGTTTGGAAGTTACAGCAAAGCAGGCAAGAACAGTGGATTCATGTTCAGGTAAGCCTCCATCATCAACTTAGAGAGAAACTTCGAGAAAAGAAGAGCCAATACTCGGTAATAACCGCTAAAGGTACGCATAAGGTGGGATTTATAGAACGTAAGAAGAAGAAAGTCAAGAAAGTTGACCCCAGAATGGCATGATTCAAGTCACTTTCGAGAGATAGGAGAGCGCTGATCGAGGGATCTAGGGATGTCACAAACATCCCACCTGTTGGAAAATATAATAATAACCCCAAGAGAAGAATCAGAGGAGGGTATATCTGTAATTTGTGTGAACATAACCTGTCTAGCCCAGACAAGACATCCTGACCAAAGTGATTTTTTAACAAACTTATCACATAAGAAGATTAATAGCAGGGATGCTTCCAATAATATTTCTGCTGCAATGTTGAAGGTTCAGAAAATTATCACAGAGCCGATATGTGAGAAACTTCTTGGGTAAACAATTCCATAATTCCATAGCGTAATTTCAGGGAATACAACGAAGAACTCTAATGACCAATCCTTCAAAAGGAAGTTTCATAAAAAGAAAGATGAGGAAGAGAAGAGGTTAAATTCTGATGAGTCAAAAACTGAAGTCAAAATCAATATCGCAAAGAAACCCAAATCAGCCCACCAAAGAAAAAGACTCAAGGGAAGGGCTCAGATAAGAGCCAAAACTGCTTGGCAAGACCCTAATAAAACAGGATTCAAAGAAAATAGAACTTCTAGAGACTTTAGGAAGAATGGCTTTGATGCCCAAAAGCTTAAATATGAGAATAACATCTCTCATTATGGAGACTTTAGGAACACTACAAGCCCTACAAAGTACAATCTTGTGATATCAAGTAAGGACAGGTACCTTGAGGTAGCCTCCTCAATTGGCCCTAAAGGAGTGACTTCCCATATTCCAGGCGTAGATTTCGACAAAATTATCAAAAGAGATTCCTTCCTTAACAGTGGGCCTGATGTGAACGAGAAGAGATTTGAGCTACTCAAAACTCCAGAATCATGGAATAAATACAATAATAATTTCCAAGTCATCCGAGTTAATAAGACTCCAAAAGAGCAAAGCCAAGATACTAAGGATTACAACCCTAATAAAGAGCCTACAATGCAGAAATTAAACACTTGTATTCCAAATTTTAAGCTGAATAAGGACTTTAACCGAACAGGATTTCTCAATTTATGTAAAGAACCTCGGCCCGAAGTGTATGAAATCCAGAAAGCTAGAGAAAAGCTCACTACTGTCAAAAGTTTCAGCATCAAACGGTCTTGCAAAAGAGACTTGAAAATGTAAGTTTCACTAAGGACTTAGTGGGAATTATGGTATAGGTACAAACAAACCGAAGCTTATGCTAATATCCAGAACGAGAATGAGAAATATGACTACATCCGGAGACTTATGAGCTCTTAAGGACTAACAAACACAAAGGAATTTACTTAAAAACCTTAACTAATTCAGTAATTGATAATAAGATTGGGGTTTTGGGGTTTTGGGGTTTTGGGGTTTTGGGG